CCCCAAAACCCCAAAACCCCAAAACCCCACAAATCCATTCCAAAATTGATTTTAAACATATTTCACAAGAATTATCATTTTTGTGACGCTTTGAGCTTACTCTGCCTTTTCTTAGCTGATATTTTTTTCCTCTCAAAGGGCATCAGGTATTGTTGTGATGCAATACCATCAATGTGGAGAGTACAGTAGATACTGTCACCCTTGTATTCAAAGTTATGGATGTCAGCTGCGTTTGAATATCTGAGCGATCACTTCTCCCGCTTGTCATGTTCACTAAAGTGGCACTCAAGCTGGGGCTTCTTCAAATAGTAGATCTGGGTTATCTTTTCAGTGAGTTTTCTTGTCTGTTTATCCTTATTCGCGCCACTACGTAATAGAGGAGATTGGAGGGATTTGATTCCTAGGAAAAGGTCCATGATGATGGCTCAGAAATCTTTCATAGGAAGATCTACATGTGCATCTTGATGTTTTAATGGGACTTAATGAGTATTTCATATTGTTTTCCATGTAAAATTATTATCTAGCATACAAATAACAATGTAACAATATTTGACATTCTTGGAGTTGGTATTTTTCTATTTGGTTTTTACTTAAAAACAATTAGCGATCGCCAGCTGAATAAATACAGAGAGGAGATATCTAGTAGCGAAAATGGCACTAAAATGGAAAGATACTGTAAAGAAGAGCTATGGCCATATGCTACACATCCAAACTACTTTTGAGAAGTTGTAACGTGATAGGATATCTCCCCGCTCAATTATTAAAACAATCCAAACGAATTTTACTATCCCAGCATCCTCTCTCCAATCTTCACTACTCACCTCCTTCAGCATCGTTCAGGTATTCTTCCCCTTCCAAAGTAGCACACGAAGGACCCTTCGCTCCAAAAGTATGCATCAAAAGTTCATCCATTAATTCCCCGAGTCCCAAAGCCTCTAAAAATTTACTCCAAAACCTTAGTAAAAAGTTCCAATTTATTAATCAAATTCAGATATTCTTGGTCAGTATCGCTCAAATATTTTGGGGTTTTGGGGTTTTGGGGTTTTGGGGTTTTGGGG